AGGTTGGAGTAACGGCCGCAGAAGAAGACTGACACGGTTCGTTTAAAACTGCGCCAACTTTTCCATTGTGCCTTTTAATGCAATTTTATTTCACCAGAATATTCATGAAATCCCAGAGAATATAAATAAACAAAGCCACTTCACAATCTATATTATCTTGGCAATGTATTATTCCGTAAAACAAGTGGATTACTTTTAGCGCTCCAAGTACAGGATTGTGAGAAGAGTATGAAAATGACGGATGTCTCTCATTATTCATCGCGGAGCGACGGGTTCTCCACGGTTGTTGCTTAAAATTAATTATTTGCGCAAGGACAATACTAAGAATGAACGCGCACACACACACAATCACAGCCGGATAGTGACGCATGCCGCTGATTTAAACTAAACTATTTATATTTTACCAAGTAAGGCCCACTGAGCTATGTGGATCTTTTTGAGAAGTGACCTGGCCACAATTGATAGCTCCACGAAGTGGCTTATCAGGTGGAGATTTATAGCAGCCAACTACTCTATAAATCATTTGTATCCAAGCGCAACCCTTAGCAATTGTGGATGAGAAAGTGGATGATGAAAACAATGAATTTTGACATACGGTGAGCGGTCTCTACAACAGTAGTTACATGCCTGGGGGTTTAACGAAGTGGCTTATCACGTGGGAATTTATAGCAGCCAAACACTCGAAACGCTTTCTAAATGTGAAGAGAAAAACTCGGAGGACCCAGAGAAAATAAATCAACGCGACCACGGGGAGAACACGCAAACTACACATCTACAGCAGGCGTCAGGGTCGGGATCGAACCCACGACCTCCCGTGTACCAACCAGGAGAGGGAGTTAACATCCTCGCCGGCGCCCCACTCGGATGTCTGTGCCAACACGCTCACGGCCACAGCCGCAAACGCACGCGGCGCACCTCCGTGCACTTATCCCGACGCAGCGAGCGAACGGTCTGCATTTCGTCCCAGGCTTCGCTGTCGACCTGCATTAACCGGCCCCAGGGTCATACCCCGTTTGATTGACATTCACACCCCACCCGCCGCCCCCCACACTCTACAAAATGTTTCCAAACGGAGCGACCTCGGAAATCTTGGCTGACTTGGCAGGGGTTTATATACAGTCCGCAGACAGCCGTACACGCGTGAACGCGCGCACACACGCGCGCAAAAAGAGACAAAGATCCTTTTCTAGCCAGGTTATAATTGGTAACTGTATTCATACACACGTGTGTGCATAGGTATGGAAACACATATATCCTGGCAATTTAACAGGATAAACGGTTAGAACGAATGCTTTTATTGAGCCCATACAATGCATACCGCACATACGTATGACTTTGTACACTTGTTGCCACTCCATCATTCAAATCAACCCTTCGAGTGACCTGTTAACAGTCAACATAATGCCTATAACTCTCACAAGTTCTCTAACCCGTGTGTTGTATTTTTCATTATGCAGCGCTGCTGATAATCAACTTGCGACGTTTTTTAAAACGAAATATATATCCGTACGTGTAGTCCCACTGTCAATTAATTCCCAATGTTTTTAATAGAATTCGAATTGAAGTACCTACACAAAGGCAAAGGTCCCCCATATAGCCTTAACATACTGTTGGGGCAAGTGCTGTTAGCGAGCACCTATGAAGGCTGGGACGGCACACGAGGGGGTGGGTGGATCAACACCACGCCCGACCGCCTTTGTCTCCCCAGCGGCGATGTTTTTACACAACGCACCAGGTACTCATTTGAGGCTGAGTCGACCTAGGGGAAGCCCAGGACCGATTCAGATAATGGTCACTGGTGTTGGCAGTGAGCGGTAATCGAACTCGGGCCGCCGGATTCGTAGCGCAGTGCGCGAACCGCGACACTACCGCTCCCCGCACACACACACATAAACATGACACTACCGCTCCCCGCACACACACACACGCACATAAACATGACACTACCGCTCCCCGCACACACACACACGCACATAAACATGACCACACACCTGCACGTCCAAACACACATGCATCATTATATCCCGGACGGCTCGCGTACCTGCATGAATGCATATTGCACAGCAAACACATGTGCATGTGTACATTCGCCATTCACACACACACACACGTACCCACAACTCGCACTCCCTGCTCTGATTACTTCCTGCTATTTCCTGCTTTCTCCTGTGTACGCGTGCGTGCGGGCATGTGTGTGGGTGCATTCACACGCGTGCGTGTGTGTGTGTGGGCGGGGAGCGGTAGCGTAGCGGTTAGCGTGCTGCGCAACGAAGCGGGAGACCTGAGATCAATTCCCAGTGACGATTATCTGAATCGGTCCTGGGCCTCCCCTAGGTCAACTCAGCCTCAAATGAGTGCCCCCGGTGCGACGTGTAATCATCGCCAACTAGGGAGACAAAGGCGGCCGGGCGTGGTGTTGGCCACCCCCACCCCATCGTGTGCCGTGCCCGCCCTTCATACGTGCTCGCACGCAACGCTTGCGCCAAAAGTCTGTCAAGACTACACCGGGGGGGGTCTTCGTCTTGGGCGAGGTTGCGGCCCGTCCCTTGGCTTCGCGTGGGCACCCGTGGCTGCGCTTGGTGGTGGTGGCGGCAGCAGGAGCTGGCCGACTGGACGCGTAGGGGGGCACGTTACTTGCGTGCGCGGCGCACATCTGCGCCGGCGCTTTGCTGTGACACCACGCGGATTGTTTCGCGTTTCAGGTGCAAGTGTGTGCACGTGTGTCCATGTGTTTCTGTTCATGCATGAAACACGTGCGCACCCCGTCCAGATGCGCACGTGGATTTTGTGCGCGCATTTTGTGCATTTTGCACCGTGACATATTTTGTGCGTCGTGGATAATGTTGCATTTATATCCCAGGCAACCCGGAAAGTGGAGAGGTGTGGGACAACTCCACGTGTTTAGGTATTGCTCCTTCTTGCAGGCAGAAGAGCAATGGCCCTTGTGTCCTAAGCATTCGTGTGTTTTTATGTGTACGGTAGTGTGTAGGGTGAACCATTTCTCGATACCCCACTGATATCTGATGACCTCCTCCTTACTGAGACTGGCGAGAGGGGATGGGCAGAGGATTTGAAACACAATATTATTTTCCTTATAATCTTTCCACGTTTGTTCAAGTTGGGTGCCTATAAATGGATCTGCCTGCGTCTAGCATCAATAGGCCACTGCTAACGCAGTCCCTGAGGTTTCATTTGCATTTGAAAACTAATTTAATTTGGTATCAGAGCCTGGCCGATTATTCTTAGATTTAAAATGAGCACCTGGTCATAGCCAGCGGCACTGGGTTTGAAGCAAATCTGGTTGGGTGTGTGTAGTGAGAGTGTGTGTTTGGTGTGTGTGTGTGGTAGGTGTGTGTTGTTGGGTGTGTGTGTGTGTGGTAGGTGTGTGTTGTTGGGTGTGTGTGTGTGTGGTAAGTGTGTTTGTGTTGGGTGTGTCGGGAGCGGTCGTGCAGTGGTAAACGCGCTGCTCTACGAACTCAGCGATCCAAGTTCGATTCCCGCTCTCGGCCAACGCCGGTGACGATGATTTAAACCAGTCCTGGGCCTCCCCTCGGTCGACTCAGCCTCAAATGAGTACCCCATGCAATGTGTAAACATCGCCACTGGGGAGACAAAGGCGGTCAGGCATGTTGCTGGCCACCCACCCCTTCGTGTGCCGTCCCAGCCTTCATGGGTGCTCGCTAACAGCACTTGCTCCAACAATCTCTGAAGGCTATATGGGCGGTCTTTGTTGTGTGTGTGATGGGTGCGTCTGTATGATGGTAGGTGGGTATGTGTGGTGTAGGTGGGTGTCTGGTGTGTGTGGTAGGTGTGCGTGTGGTGTGTGTGTGCACCAGTCTCTTGCGTATTGTGTCGGCTTTGATGTCATGAACATTATGACAAATATGCCTAAAAACACAGCACCGGGCGAGCAGCGTTAGGACTAAAACACAAGAGAGCTCGCGGTCCCAGAGGAAGTGAGGCTGAATAATAAAGGAGCAAAATAAAGCTCCGTGTGTAACTTTTAAGATTTCAATCTCTCCGAGTGCTCCGAGCGATCACGTCGCGGCGTCGAACAAAAAAGACTTGACTCGGGCCGATGAGCACGGAGGGACGATCGAGTGGGCCAGTCACATGGGGGCTCGCACACGCATATCTTACAAAGAAGTTAATTTCATCCTGCGGTTTTGTATTCCAGTCGTTAATTTGACGTTCTTAAATGGGCAGTTTTTTCGGCTTTTTTTTTATAAAAAAATATTTTGAAACGTGTTCATTTTTTCTCTCTAGTGTACGGAGCTGACCTGGAGCGACTCCCGTTATTTAATAAAAGCTTACCGATACGTTTTGCCATGTGCCTAGCGCGTGGCGTATATGGTGGAGTGCGTTTGTTTCGCAAACAAAAGCTAAAGCGATTTCTTGCTCCAATGAGCACTGAGGCGGCGCTCATCCCTCTCCGTTTACAGCCAGTCGTGAACATTCCACATTCCTACGATGGGGACGAGTCTTGGGCAGGATAACCTCCATTGATTTCCACACAAAGTGGTTACTTATTTTATCGACCCCGGAGGGATGATGGGCTAAGTCAAGCCTCAACCAGTAAAGCTTTCGTGACTGCAGTAATTAATATTCTTAGCTCGGTAAAGTCACGTTGAAGGGAAACAATAAAATAATAAAATATATATAAAGCAATAAAAATTATCACGACGTTTCGACCACCTGATGACGACCGTTTGTGTTATGGTCGAAACGTCGTGAGAATTTGTATTGTTTTATATATATTTTATTATTCTATTGTTTCCCTTCAACGTGACTTTACCGAAAGAGCTAAGAATACCTCAACCAGTACGTGAACTCTGCTACCTTCCGACGGCGAGCCACTTGCTCTCCCGCCGGTATAACGAGACTTCAAAACGAGGGTTTCAACGCCTGCTTGGTCACGCTTTTCCTGCACGTGTCTACAAGGCCATAACCGTGCTCCCCCCCCCCCACTCACCCACCACCCCACCCTTGTCTCCGTCTAGGTGTGCTGTCACTGCCGCTGCACTTCAGCGCGTTCGAAGAGCGGGCAGCATCGATGGCTGGAGGAGGCGGCACCAGCGGGACGATGTCCGTGGAGCCGTACGGCCCTGCGGAGCTGCGCACGCTGGACCAGTCGTTACTCGCCACCTACGTGGGCAGCGTCGCCGAGCTCGGTGAGGATCGGGAGGATGGGGGGCGGGGGGAGGGGGGGGGGCGCCTTCCCCCAAACCAAGCTTCAGCGAGCAGTCGTGCGCCGGGCTCGGGGTTGAGCAACCATCGCCAAGCGAAACGTAAACGACGCCGATTCCATGTTGCCATATCCCATCGGGTGTGTCGCTTTGATGCTATGCGTCGGCGGTGCAATGGTGCGTCGTCGATTATAATCAATTCCTATGCTCCCGATATATTATAACTGTGAATAATTTTTTGGGGGGGGAATATTCGAGTCTGTAGTCACCCAAAGTAGTTCTCGTGACGCATGCTGCTGTCCCTTTGAGGCACTTTTCAATCAAAGATCTAGTTGGCTAAAAGATGGGTGAAGGCTCTTGAATTTTCACCAGATGTAACTTCTGCAGCGTCGTTTCCTCTGGAGCTTTTCAGCGACGTGGCACGAGGCTCCGCGAACGCGGCGTGGTTTTTGGAATGGCATGTCGCCTCGTGACACATTCAAATAAAAATAAATATACAAAATAGATTAAAAATATAACAATAAATTATGATGGAACTCGAATTGATTCGCGACGCCGTGTCATGACGATTCACAGAATTTCGGAGGGGGGTGGACGAATTGTTAGAGGCCTGCTTAAATGGTCGCGGTGGACGCGTAAGCAATTGTGTGCCGGTGTCGCCGATGGATTTAGCCTTGCAATGAGTAAATGCCTTGCGATCTGCTCGAGTGGAGCTTTAGCAGAATGCTCGACTCAAATTTAACGTGTGCATGCTGAACTTCTTTCGCACCATACGTAGCCAACCGCGCTTGTCCAAGCGCGCCAATCGAATATAAACTCAGGCCATGATCCGTCATCCGTGGTCGACAATGTAAAAGTTCCACATTGTAACGAGTCAGCAATTGTTATTCCGTGGTGATTTCTTTCCTCCGTTTTAGGAATGTATACGTTCCGCTGCTAGCTTAGGTGCCGCCTAAAAAGATGCCACGCGAGTAATTACACGATCCTTTCCAAGACCAGAAAGTCATCAAAAGGCCAATGCCATTGATGCCACCGTGACCCCGTCACTGCTTCCTTCCTTCTGCTGATTTCAGCAATTGTTGCAAAGTCGACACCTAACCTCCAAGCACCACTATTAGAGTATCTCACCTCTGGGCGCCACTCGAATGCCCAACTTAGCATCCTGCCCTCCCCCATCCTGCACACGTGTCCCGCTCATAGCCACCTTCTCCTCCTCGCGATTCAATGCAAAACATATACTAATATCTGTATTCAAAGCACTGAATAGCTTCAAACGCCGCTGCTTATGGAATGGCCTTGGCAATTCACACAGCTCTTGCCCTCGAGTGTCTATCAGGCTTCGTGTAGGAGCCATTGTGTGTTGTTTCTGTCTGCATCTAAGCTGAGGTCGTTTGCCAGGACCCAGTGTTCCGCTTGCCGTATGAATAGTAATGACTTTTGTCATGCCCTCCTCTGCCAGTGATTGTGACACTTGCAATGTGTGGGAAGCAATTCGATGTTGCTGCAATGACCAATTGGCAACCAGTGGAAGGCCTTTGGCAGAACGAGTCACGATCTTGTCGACTTGGCGTGCAGTTTCCTTTTGCTGTGAGATGCCGCTTTACATACAATGCTCCGTACAGGATGACGGTAATAGGCAAAGGTGCAGCCCTGTAATTGCTTACTCACACTACCGCTGGACAAAGGGACTCTACTTGTGGATGTGAACCCTTCTGAGAGGTTTTTTGGCCTTCTTTTCCCACACTGCTCTGACGTTTCATAGGCGGTGGGATTACCTACTCTTTACCCCACCACACGTGACCTACCGCGATGGACTAACTAATTGTGGTGCACCCATTTCCACTGCTGGAAGGGGGGAGATTTAAAAAACCTGGCCCCATTGTTTCAACCAGCGCTCCATGAGATCAGATCGGACCTGCGACCCCTGGCTTGCAAGTTTTTGTGCGAACGACCTTTACACCACGACAGCGCCCCAAGGTTTCACGGTTCTCTCGACGCGTCTGGTCGTGCCTCTCTTGGAAACTAAATTTGTCGGCGGCAACAGCTTTGGCCGCTCAGAATCGGTCCACGTGCAGCACCCTGCGCCACACGGCGCACGCGTTGAACGCTAGCGCGATTTCACGCCGCGCTTGCGACCACACAGCGCACGTGCTATCAAACCCCTGAACCCGTTCTGCGCGCCACACGCGTGACGACCCGAAAAACACACGTCGGGAGAGCCGCACGGCAGCAGAAAGCAAAACCCCTACGCGGCGGCACAAAAACAATTCTCGCCGTTCGAAGCCGGTTCTGGAGGGGGGGGGGGGGGGTTGACTCTCTGCCCGTTGGTATCGTTCGACATCCTCGTGAACCCCCCCCGCCCCTCCAAGTAACGTGCGCCGCATCGCCTGTCCCCCACCAGGAGACCTGGTCTCTCGCGCCATGCATCATCTGGCGAGGTTTGGCGGCGGCGGCGGCGGCTCGAGTGTCGGTGTCAGCCCTTCGCGGGCAACCCAGGCGAACGCCCCCGCGCAGGCGGCCTGGGGCTGGGACTCGCTGCACGCGCTCTACTACTTCATGCGCTGCCCGCGGATGGAGTGCATCGAGGATCCCAACCTGGAGCCGCCCAAGCTGAGCCTCACCTATGAGAGGTGAGCGCAGAGAGGAAGACGGGGGTGGGTGCGGGGTGAGGGAGGAGTTGGGGTGGGGGGGGGGTGGGTGCAGCGTGCTTGTGAGAGTGTGCGCGCGTAATGTGTGTACGTGCGTGCGTGTTGTGTGCGTTAGGGGGCAGCGGTAGTGCAACGTTTCGCGCGCTGCGCTACGAACCTGGCAAGCCGAGTTCGAGTCGCCCTCGTGGCCAACACCCGGTGGCAATTATCTGAATCGGTCCTGGGCCCCCCTAGATCGACTCCGCCGCAAATGAGTACCTGATGCGATGTGTAAACATCGCCACTGGGGAGGCCGAAGCTGGCCGGGCGCGGTGCTGGCCACCCACTCACTCCCTCGTGTGCCGTTCTTGCCTTCATAGGCGCTAGCCAACAGCACTTGCCCCAACAGTATGTTAAGGCTATTTGGGGCACCTTTGTCTTTATCTTGTGTGTGAGAGGTGGCGCAGCGGTTAGCGTGCTGCATCAAGAACCCGGCGAGCAGAGTTCTATTCCTGCTTACGGCCAACACCAATGACGATGATCTCAATCGATCCTGGGCCTTCCCTAGGTCATGTTATGAGGAGTTTAACACACGCCACTCTGCTGCTGTGTTTATAAACGAAACACCTCAAATCTGGGCGAAGTGCAGGTTAGATTCGCACGATGGTTTTGCCACCGAGCCCGTTCGTCTCCGACCCCGAGGTGACAGTGGTTGCATCATGCGGAGATTTTCCGGCCTACGAAACGACCATGGGACGGCGGTACAGCAAGTGGGTTCATGAACCCACTGTGTGTGGACCCTTTCAGCGTGAGTGTGTCCTCAGCGTACCGTTGGCTTCCTTTGCCATGCAAAACGCCAAATGTCGCAATGCAGATCTGTCCTGAAATTGTTGAGACTTGGTAAACAAGGTATTCTTGAATAATAATAATAAAATAAATCGCCACACACAAAGATATGGTGAAGTAAGCATGCGTTTATTGGTAGCTAGCAAGATTAAAGCCGACGCCTTTATATTTTTAATCATAAATCAAGGCGTGCATCTTTAGTTCTATTTAATAAATGTGCATGTTCACCACCCCATCCGCCCACATACTCGCGTCCACACCCACTCCCCCTCAAACCTCTCCCCACCCCCTCCGACTGGCCATCCTCATCACGCTGTCACATTAGTTACAAATAATCATTTAAAGTCGCTGATGTAAGAAGCTTGTTTTGCGTGCGTGTCTCTACTACCCTGGCATCTTGTGATGGCTATTAGCACGGTTGGTTACCTATGGTGCGAAAGAAGTTCTACATACATACATGATGATGATTGGGTTGACAATTTGTCCGAGGCAGATATAAGTTCCACTTTGGAATTTTTTGGTGAGGGTGGCGGTGGTGACGCAGTGGGGGAAATGTCTCTTGTTAAGTTGTTTTGTAGCCAATCTTACCCACAAATAATGATGTAATTGTTGGCAACGGTATTGGTAAGCTGCGTGCTAAGCTTAATAATGATTGAATCAGGGATTTTCGAGTTTTTGTGAAAACATGTGAATTGTCTACGGGCCAGGCATAACATTGACCAACTATTGGAATAAGAATTCGTATCCAAGTGCAACCCTTAACTATTTTCACTTTTTACCTACATTTTTTAGTTACTAGGTAAGGCCCACTGAGCTATACAGCCCTATTTCAAAAGCGGCCTGGCCACAAATGATAGTGCAACGAAGTGGGTTATATCATTAGTATCCAAGCGCCAATGTTAACAATTGTAGATGAGAAAGAGGATGATGAAAACAATGAATTTTGGCAAAGATGGATAACGATGATAATGACGGGTGGGAGCGGTGAGCGGTCCCTACAAAGTGGTTAAATGCCTGGGGGTTTAATCATACTTGATATCACGCTGGGCCCCTACGATCACATAGGGTGTGTGCGGTGTGCGCTGGATCCCAGTGAGTGGGTGCGCGAGCGAGGGAGTGAATATCGGCAAATTATTTTAAAATGTAAAAAAAAGAAGAGAAAATATTTTCACAAGCGCTGTGGGTCACGGTAAGTTGACGAAGCCAAACTGAGAAGTATTTGTATTGTTTAAGATTCAGTGGAAACACACACATGGCTCAAACGGCTACACTTAGGCAACTTGTTAAGCGTTCCATGAGAAGAATTACAAATGCCCCAAGTCATTATTCACGTCTCTCTGTACATCGTCTACAGCCCTTTAGTCAATCAACCGCTGGGTGACGGTTTTCCCGCACCTCCGATCACCACGGTTGGCTACATACAGACAGACGTTAAACGTACATACAAAACGAATCATGCAGGGGTTAGTTTAACACGTAGGCATTCGCGATCAATATCATCCATAATAGAGGTTTTTTTTGGGGTTAGATCGCGTAAATATATAAATGCGTCGATAAACCCGCCACCACCCGACACAGCCAGTTAGAATCATGAGGCGTCAGCCAAATATGGCTGTCGCCTGATGATGCCGGTTCTAATTACTGGCGAAATGTCGTACTCAGATTGTAAATGTTGTGGCTTGGCTCTCCAACACACCGGTGTGCTGTACTAGTAACGAATTGGCCACATTCTGTTTACGTGACAACCCTTACTAGTTGGCTGTGTTGGTTGGTGGTGGGTTTAACGACCTGTGTTATGCATGCAGGGGTTGCTTTACTAGACATCGCCAAGCTGGGCAGTGCAGGCTCGTGAAGAATAACATGCACAAGCATTAAAGTTCAGTCCAGTCATGGATTTTGCTGCACTCCCCTCTGCCACCCATCATGTGGCCCCGCAAACTCGCAAACTCTACAACAACCTGGTTGTGAATGCTGATCACCCAACTAAGCACTAACCAGGCTCAGTACCGCTTGCTTTCTGATATCTGATGAGGCCGGATGCATTCTGGGTGATTGCAATAACCGTGTGTCTAGTTTTCTCATTTCGGTCAGCCTTGCGGTCAGTGAGCTGGTCACCTGGTTGATGGTGATCCTGCTGAGTGGACAGTCAGCGCCGATAAGCAAAATTATTGTATCAAAGGTAATTTATTTTTGGAAATGTCGACCTCATTCACATAATCTTAAGCTATTCACACTACCTCATCTATTGTAATTGGTGACGCAGTTTAGATTGGCCGTCATTTATGTCTTTGAGATGTTTTCGTGCGATCATTGGTGGCCGTACTGTGTGTGTGTGACCAGTCCAGGTTAGTTGTGGGTGCTTTAGTTCCCTGTCATAAGCATTCACCTCCAGAATCACCCAGACAAGTTGATGCAAATCAAGACTCACAAACACAGCAACATGGGGCAGGAAAACACATTTCCTGCCTCAATATGCATCCAAGTGTTCTGAAGCTTTTGAGAAAAGGGCAGTGGTTGTTGACTTTAAGTAAACGTAATGTTCATGGCATGCCCAGTAATAGATGTTTTTTGTTTGTATTCTCTTTCAGCTCAATCAGTTAAAGTCAAAATTCAGAGCAAGCCAACCCCTCTCTTTCCCTCCCCCGCTTGAAACATCCATGGAGAAACATCGAGCACAGAAACGTTTGCTGGCGTTCACAAGTGTGCGTGTTTATTCCAGTACGTTTCTTTTTTTTTGCATACGGATTGAGAAATATCGACAAAAAACGCTTATTATTAAACGCGGGTCGGGGAAGGTGGGGACCGAGAAGCGGTTCAGATGTCGCTAGCCCCGGCGCACGATAGCCACGGCCGGGAGTCAAACTCAGGTGGCCGTAGGGCTCATCGCAACAGTCTGCTACCGACTGCTTCACCACATCTCCACCACGCACAAGAATAACCGAGCTGTCAGACGCTCACCGAGTTTGTGGGACTCTTCATGACAACGATTGGGTGCTCGTAACGTTCGTTGTTTGCTTTGGCGTTTACGCGGGACGAAGCCCAATCGCTTGGAGAAACCCCACGCGGGCAAGGGGGAGATTACACTCGGGCTGCACGATGCTGCGCGTGGTTATTAATCGGACACCTACTTGCTGCACTGTCGCCCACATGCAACCACCTCATTGTCCAGCCGTTGGGTGTCTCATGCGCCATCGTCGGCGTCGTCGTGCCTCTTGTCTATAAATGATTTACCAAATCTTCCTCCGGAAACTCTATTGGGGTCGTGTGTCATCACCAGACCCTGCGGCCCTTGCATCACTATTGGGACATTCACGGCTATACGACGGCCCACAAATGGCAACTTCAAATGACCTTTCGCAATTCCCCAAATGTATTAGGTCCATCCGGTTAAGTATCCTTTTGGCACTTCTTCCATTTATTTAACAGGCTTTCCCATAAGACGCATATATATCGAGAGAGAGAGGGAGGGGAAGTTTCAGCACTTATATAATCAATTAATGGACTGAAAGTAATCAATATCTTTTAGACTAAAAAAAAATCACAGTTGTGTTCGCAGTAAAATGTCCCAACCATTAAAAGCCTGGGGATGGTAAATGGGAGCTGTCCCGCACGACAAACAGCCACGATGGCATTCCCTGCACCGGAGCGACGGAGCCACAGATGGGGGGGTGCTCCTTGTAAAGATGATGGAGCTGCGTTGCATCTGACCAGTGTGTGGTGTGTGTGTGACCAGTGTGTGTGTGGTGTGTGTGACCAGTGTGTATGTGGTTTGTGTGTGGTGTGTGTGTGTGTGACCAGTGTGTGTGTGTCACCAGTGTGTGTGTGACCAGTGTGTGTGTGTCACCAGTGTGTGGTGTGTGTGTGTGAACAGTGTGTGGTGTGTGTGTGTGACCAGTGTGTGTGGTGTGTGTGTGTGGTGTGTGTGAACAGTGTGTGTGTGGTGTGTGTGTGTGTGTGACCAGTGTGTGTGTGTGTGGTGTGTGTGTGTGTGACCATTGTGTGGTGTGTGTGGTGCGTGTGTGACCAGTGTGTGTGTGTGACCAGTGTGTGGTGTGTGTGTGTGACCAGTGTATGTGTGACCAGTGTGTGGTGTGTGTGTGTGACCAGTGTGTGTGTGTGGTGTGTGTGTGTGTGTGACCAGTGTGTGGTGTGTGTGT